TTCTATTCTATTCTTTCCTATTCCATTCTATTCTATTCTTTTCTATTCTTTCCTATTCTATTCTTTCCTATTCCATTCTATTATATTCTCATTCCATTATATTATTCTATTCTATTCTTATTCCATTATTCTATTCTATTCTATTCTATTATTCTATTCTATTCTTTTCTATTCCATTCTATTCTCATTCCATTATATTTTTCTATTCTATTCTATTCTATTCTATTCTAATTCTGTTATATTATTCTATTCTATTCTCATTCCATTATTCTATTCTATTCTTTCCTATTCTATTCTTTCCTATTCCATTCTATTATATTCTCATTCCATTATATTATTCTATTCTATTCTTATTCCATTATTCTATTCTATTCTATTCTATTATTCTATTCTATTCTTTTCTATTCCATTCTATTCTCATTCCATTATATTTTTCTATTCTATTCTATTCTATTCTATTCTATTCTAATTCTGTTATATTATTCTATTCTATTCTCATTCCATTATTCTATTCTATTCTAATTCCATTCTATTATATTCTCATTCCATTATATTATCCTATTCTATTCTCATTCAATTATTCTATTCCATTCTATTCTATTCTATTATTCTATTCTATTCTTTTCTATGCCATTCTATTCTCATTCAATTATATTTTTCTATTCTATTCTCATTCTATATTATTCTATTCTCATTCCATTATTCTATTATATTCTCATTCCATTATATTATTCTATTCTATTCTCATTCAATTATTCTATTCCATTCTAATTCCATTATTCTATTCTATTCTATTCTTTCCTATTCTATTCTATTCCTTCCTATTCCATTCTATTATATTCTCATTCCATTGTTCTATTCTATTCTATTCTCATTCCATTATTCTATTCTATTCTGTTCTGTTCTATTCTATTCTGTTCTGTTCTATTTATTCTATTCTATTATGTACTAATCTGTATTAAATGCTAATGACACAGGCCATACATTGACCATCCATTAACAAAATATTCCTTTCCATCATACAGATCCTGAAGGAGGCCCACACCCCGATCACATGCAAGGCTTCGTAAGAGAAAGTAACTTCTCCCAAGATTTATTGAGGCCAAAAAATTAAGATGATTTTCACTCTTGAGAAGATGGCTCAGTTCATTTCTTTTCTTGGAACAGAGGAGGAAAATTACTCCCCAAATAAGTGAGGATTTAAAAAAAAAAACAAACAATAATGGCTTCAGCCGGATATGAAAAACTCAGGTACTCCAACATTTGCCTTCAAAATGTTAAGTTTATCATTAAAAGGGTATAATCTGTGTATGACACACCCGCGTGAAAAATGCTGTTTGGTTTTGTAGCCCCCGTGCCAAATTGTTTTCTTATTCCCCTCTTTCCTTTGTTTATACTTTTCCCAACAGGCAAATTCCAAAATTAATCAAAGATAATCATCATCTCCCCCCCCCTTTTTTTTGAGTGACTTTTGATCATTTGGGAATTTTCTACAATCAGTGGTGTTCTGTGGAAACTTTCCACTTCCTCGAAGCAATATTCTTTTTGATGTAGGAGAACATCTTGTAGACTCCATGCGCCGTGCAAGAGGCAGGAATAAGCAACTGGCATTTCGTAAGAATGATGTATCTTCCAAAAAAAAAGAAGGTTTTTTTTCCCCCTAAGGCCTGCCATGCTTACTAAGGTAAAGATAAAGGTTTCCCTCACACATATGTACTAGTCGTTCCCGACTCTAGGGGGCGATGCTCATCTCCATTTCAAAGCCAAAGAGCCAGAGCTGTCCGAAGACGTCTCCGTGGTCATGTGGCCAGCATGACTCAACGCTGAAGGCGCACGGAGCGCTGTTCCCTTCCCACCAAAGGTGGTCCNTTCCTTGCTTGGGCTGGTCTGGGCAAACAAGTGATACACACACCCACCCACGCCCGTGGTGGGGGTACCGAGAGCATGAAGGCCCCCCAAGCCCTCCTGGTTTGCTCTTCTTTGGCGTGGCTGCTTCAACCGGGCTCCTTCCAGCCTTACCTTCGGCTCCGCCCTTCCCCGAGCGACAACCTACCCATCAAGGATATTATCGAGCACCCGGATCCCGAATACGACCCCAAGGAGCAAGATTTGGACGACCGGACTTTACGCAAGAAGCTGGGCAGCCACTTTGACCCCAACTTCATGGCGGTGGCGGCACCGGCTCAAGGCAACCTCTCTAGCTTGGAGCCTTTGCACAAGTTCAAAGGTCAGGGGGCTTTGCCCGGGGAGCTGAAAAAGCTGGACCTGGCCGAGACGCCCTATAGGACCAAGGTCAAGATAGGTAAAAAAGCCAGGCGGAAATTCCTCCAGTGGCTTTGGGCTTACACCTACTGTCCGGTTATGTATACCTGGAAGGACTTGGGCAGCCGTTTTTGGCCTAGGTACATCAAGGAAGGGAACTGCATGGCCGAACGGTCTTGTTCCTTCCCGGAGGGCATGTCCTGCAAACCCATCAAATCAGTCACCAAGACGTTCTTGAGATGGTACTGCCAAGGATGGTCCAAGCAGAAATATTGCACGTGGATCCCCGTCCAGTATCCGGTGATTTCAGAGTGCAAATGCTCCTGTTAATTCTGGGGGAGAGAGGGGAAGGTGGAGGACTTGGGGTGGGGGTGGGGGAAACGTGCTCCCCCCACACACACTCCTGGATGGATCACGCAGCATGCGCGATGGAGATGGGGGCTTTAGCTCCCCGAGAGCCTCCGCTAATGCTTTTGAGATGTGGGGAAAGGAGGAGAGGAGGACGTGAGGTTGCACTCCATCCCTACACCCGGGTTCCATCCGGAAGGCAGGCTGAAGCATCCGGAGAAGGTGGCTAGGAACTCAAGCCGCCTGGGTGAACGGACTTGACAGGTGCCAGTCATCCTCCAACACTCCCCCAGCGAAGCTTGGAGGGTTCAAATGAAAAAAAAAAAAAAAGAAACATTGAGAGAGTCCTGACAAAGAGACCTACGGACACCAATCGGTGTTTGCAAGACACTTTGCCCGTTTCTCTGTCCTCTTCCCCCTTACCGCTTGCACTGTTGTTGTTATTGTTTTTTCCCCTTCCCTCCCTTCCTGCTTCCCTCCCTCCCTCCCTCTCTCTCTCATGCTTTTTCTCATTCTCCGGCTCACTCACTCATTCTCTCTCTCTCATTCTCTCTCTCTCATTCTTTTTCTCATTCTCCGGCTCACTCACTCATTCTCTCTCTCTCATTTTCTTTCTCATTCTCCCGCTC